AAAATTCATCTTTCTCAATTTAGTTAATTACAATTAAAATTTAAAATTTAAAATTTTAATTAATTAATAATTTAATTTTAATTATAATAAAAACTAAACCCCGCCCACCTAGCAACAAAGGCAGCCTTTCAATTGTGGGGGATGACTCGTAACCCAAAAAATGGGGAATGACTTTGACTCGTTGCTTGATGTAAGGATAAATTAAAAGATGTTGATATAACAGACACTTCCAATGAAGACGGCCAAAAACAAAAGAACACCTCACAAAAATGATGTGACCTTAACAAACTGTACATCACTAATATGAACTAAAGGAATTTAAAATTTCATTTCGAGTCCACACGGCATTCGAGTCCACACGGCCATATAGTTAGACCATCATAATTGTTTTTTCTGGCCATTTTTGGAAAATTTTTTTATTAGTGTATTTTTTTGGACTTTTTATCTTAATTAAGTGAAAACTTAATTTTTAGTGTTATATTAGTAAAAATATTTTAATTAACTCTTTAATTTGTATACTAAGATTTTTTAGAGAGTCTATAATATCTTTAATATAAATTTACACTTAATGTAATAGTTAAATTATCATTATTATTAATATTGTTTTTCTGTTGTCATCAATCAAATTTAAAAAACTGTTGAAATACCTAATAGAAGGAAAACAAGGATTCAATATTTAATAATAAACAAATATTTTTAGGTGATGACAGATTTAATATAACTTTATAAATTATAAATTTTGTCTTTATTTTTTAAAATTAAATCAATTAAATTTTTTGGCTTAAATTTTCTTTTGTACTTATCACTTGAATTTTTTTAATTAATATATTTAAAATTATTAATTATCAAAAAAATTTTAAAGTATATTTATAGTTAATTATTATTATAAAAATTTTTAATTACTAAAAATATAAAGAAAATAAAGACGAACCGTGGCTTGAGGACTAGTATAACCAGTAGTTTGATGGATTAAGAGTTTGTTCGTGAACACTTTTTTATATTGGTTATAAGTACTTTTTTCTTTTAATTTATTGGAAGGAAATGTTATTTTTTTTTAGTATTTAAAGTATTTACAAACAAATTAGAAACGAAAACTATAAGATATAACTTTTTAAAAACTTACTAAAAACACTTTAAATAATAAGGTTTTATTTAGTATAATTGT